AGGGGCTAGTGATGCTTCACTAGACTTCAGGCGGGGGGAATCAGTGCTTGCCCATCTTATTGCTGATTCTCGAGCATACTCCACTACAAGCCCTACAATCACATCGTTCACACACCGAATATTGTGTATTGACCGACAAGAGCGAAGATAAAGAAATCCAGGTGCCAAGGAAGGACAAATCCCAGGAGATGCAAGAACACTGCCCAGTAGACCATTAATCCTCCTTTGATTGGTTAACAAAGAAGTTGCATCATGGACAGATCCTACAAATGAGCTGAAACAACTTCTCAAGAGTTGAGAAACAGCTTCCTTGTTTTGCCTGAACACAGAACGGGAGCATGATACAACAATGAAGTTATGCCAACGGCGGACCTTTTGGGCCCAAAGAGAGCCAATTATGGGAATGCTAGGCCAAGGACAACCTGATGCACAGTTCTCCAGTGCTGGCCCAACAACAGCATGGATGTACTCCAGGCTCTTGGTGAGTTTGAAAGTAATGGTTAAACTGACAAGGGCTGCAACTGGCAGTGGTAGCATCACAGGTGACATCCCTGCTAAACAAGATAATGAACAAGGGTTTAGCCATGAGGAGGAAATGAAGAATCATTAGATTGCTAAACACTTATCAAAATTTAATTTTCTATTCAGTAAACATTTTGATATACATTGACACGAAGAGGCATATTATTTTTCGATGGAAGCAGACTTGAAATAGATGATGCATAGATTTGTCTTGCCTAGAGCTGCCAGCCATAAAGATAGTGATAAATCCAAACCAGTCAAATTGAAAGATTTGAATGCCATATGAGAATGAGAATACAGGCCTCTCATTCTAAAACTTTGCCTTTTCCTAATCAACATGCCAATTGGGATAAAAAGTAACAATTACTGTATGAAAGTGGACAATTTTAACTATCCCCACTGGAAATGTAGATTGCACTTTAAGCGAACTGTTGCTCTGCTTACAGATAGCATCTTACAACAGGAGAATCCAGTAATCTTTAGAGCATATAGTTATAGAAAAATTTAATTGTCATAATCTTTTTCACTGAGAATGGAAAATATGTACAAATTATAATAATTGTCTGAAACTAAATATTAGTATCAAATAAAAAAAAAAAGGATAAAGAAAATGCAAGTGAAAATTTGTAATTAAAATTTCTATTTATTGAATTTTTATCGATGATATTTAATTTATAACATCTGTATATGTAGAAAAATATTAGAGAAAGTTTTAATAGGAAATTAAATACAAATCAGTCTCACAAAAGGAAAGATCTGCTAGTTATGGAAGTCGACTATGACTCTAGTTTATAAGAAATTTTTTCTAAAAATATCAATATATATAAGAATTGAACTTCTACAAGAAGTTAAATTCTTACGCTCCCCCTCAAGTTGGTTCGAAGATGTTGAGCAACCTAAACTTACAATTCAATTCTTTGAAAATCTTCCGAGGTAAAACCTTGGTGAAAATATACACAATATAATGATAAGATTGAATGGGCCACAAGGATAGTGCTTCGTACACAATTTTCACATTAATAGTGTCTACTAATCTCTACATGCTTAGGTTGATTATGATGAACTAGGTTATTTGCTAAGCTTATTGGGGATTGATTGTTACATAACACTTTCATAGACTCTAAACTTCTTAATTCACCCAATACTCTTTGTAGCCACATTCCTTCACATATATCATATGTTTTTTGTTTCTCCAAGTAACTAAGTTTCTCTAAACATATATATAATATCTCGATGGAATTTTCTATCAGTTATAGAATCATCTCAATCTGCGTCAAAATATACTTTAATACTTTTTTTTTCTTGAAAAATAGCTCCTCTCCAACTGTTATTTTTACACACTTGAGAATTTGAAACACCGCCTCTATATCGTCTTCAGTTAGATTATTTATGAATTAACTTACCATACTAACAACCAAATGAAATATGGTATGGTATATGAAAGGTAAATCAATTTACCCACTAGTGTTGGTATCTTTCTTTATCAACTAGAACACCATTAATTTTACTTCTTAGTTTAACATAGGGATCTATGGGTTTGTCTGCGAGCTTGCATCCTATCATTCTAGTATTTTTTAGAAGATCCAACACATATTTTCGCTGAGAAACTGAGATTCATTTCCTTGACCTAGCAATTTCCATTCCCAAGAAATATTTGGGGTTTCTTAAGTCTTTAATCCCAAATTCTTAAGTTAAAATCTTTTTTAATTTGAGTATCTTCTCAATATCATCCTTTATAATTATTATATCATCCATATATACGACGAGGATTGCCTTTTTTCTTGAAGGATCATGCTTGACAAACATAGTATGATATGTTTAGCATTGATTATATCTAAACTTCTTAATTGTCTTAGTGAATTTGTCGAACCATGTTCTTGAGGTTGTTTTAGTTCATAGAGGGACTTTTTTAGTTTGCAAATATTTCTATTAGTGACTTGACATTTAAACTCTAATGGTATCTCCATATAGACTTCGTGCTTCAATTCTCCATTAAGAAAAGTATTCTTTACATCTAATTGGAATAATGGTCAATCCAGATTAGCAGCTAAAGACATTAATATCCGAACTGTCTTAAGTTTTGCTACTTGTACAAATATCTCCTGATAATCAATTCTATAAGATTAAGTGAAGTCTTTACCTACTGATCGAGCTTTAAACCTATTGATAATACCGTCAGCATTATACTTGATTGTGGACACTCATTTACAGCTGACTAATTGTTTCCTAGGTGATCATTCTGCTATGTCTTCAAGTCTCATTCTTTTTTAAGACTTTGATTTCTTCCATGATTAAAGTTTTTCATTATGGTACTTTTAATGTTTCATATATCGTCTTGGTATTTGTATTTTATCAATATTACTAACAAATGCCTTGTGAGTTAATGATAAAGCTTTATAAGAAATAAAATTGTGAATTAGATGATCAATACATGCTCTTTTTTGTTTTCTTAAAGTAATACATCTATCATCATATAGATAATCAAGGGAGAGATTTGAACTTGGATTACTTGAAGTATTCAGTATATTGGATTTAGATTCGAATTGGGTTCTTGACTTTGATAAGGTGGTTTTGCCTTTTTCTCTTCTTGATTCTTGTTCCTTCTAATGTAGACCTCAAATTCAAGTTTTTTCAATGTCATGAGTAGGTTCAGGCCCATGTGTCTCATCTTGATCCATATGTTCTTAAAAGAGACTAGCAAGAAAAAAATCTTATATCTATATTGTACTGATTTGAATAATCTTCACTCTTAAAAAAAGAATAATGTACGACATTATATAGCCGAGTAAGAGAAATACACAAGCCTTAATTAATGGGATTCTGCCATCATAATTTAATTATTCTAAATATAAAAGATTTACAAGATACTACAGAATATTCCTATACCTTAAAAGTTCAACCAATCATCTTAAATATAGAATAAATAAATAATTCTAAAATTACAGCTAATTATTTTAAATGCAAAATAAATAATTAATTGACTTTCTTTCACTCCCCCTCAAGCTTGGCTGTAGATATTGTGGAGTCCAAGTTTGTCAACTAATTTCTCAAAATCGGATCTCCAAAGACTAGTGAAAATATCAGCTGCTTGACTCAAAATTAGAACATAGATGATAGACACCATCCCATCTTCTATCTTTTCTTTAATGAAATGACAGTTTATTCCAATGTATTTGGTTTTGTCATGATAAACTAGGTTGTGAATGATACTAATAGTAGCTTTGTTGTTATAATATAATTTTAGTGGTTCACTTGCTTGTTGTTTTAATTCTTCTAGTAAATTTCTTAGCCATATCATCTCACACACACCGTGAGCTAAGAATCTTAACTCAGCTTCTGCACTGCTTCTTGCAACCATAATTTGTTTTTTGCTTTTCCAAGTGACTAAGTTTCCCCAAACAAATGATTAATACCCTGAAGTTGATCTCCTATCTGTGACCGATTTTGCCCAATCTGCATATGTAAATATTTTAATACCCCGATTTGAGGTTTTCTTGAAGAATAAAAGCTTTCCCTGGAGATATTTTTAGATATCTTAAAATTCATGTAACTGCAGTCATGTGTTCCTCTGTAAGTGCATGCATAAATTGGCTGACATAATTTACAGCAAAACTAATGTCAGGTATAGTATATGAAAGG